TCTTGCGTGTACCAAATCGAGAGTGTGGTAATCCTGTAGTACAACAGCCAATCATCTTCTGTAGTCCTCTGTACTATCCTTATGCATTTCAGTTAATCGACGATATTCTGAAATCTCTTGATGGACTTTATCACAGCAACTGCAAGCCATATTTCAACGACATAATGGCATGTTTTCCAGGAGCAATTTATAAGGTAGACAATTTTTCACGTATGTTTGAAAGCTCAACGCCTTCTTTATCATGCTTATTTGTGCCCTTGCTCATCCCTGAACATGCATAAGCCTGCTAGCGAGTTGGATCCCATCTGCACGTTATACCTCAATTTCTGGGAACTACATGCTTCTACTCTTGTAATGGCACAAGGCTAATGGCTATTAAATAAAGCATCTGACCATTAAGAAACAGAAAGGAAAAAAAAAAAAAAAAAAAGCATGCGTTTGCTTTAAGATAACCACTTGCATCCGAGCCAGAGATGGCAAAATAATGTACTATTTTTTTAAAAAAAAAATTCTTTTGTTAATCTTTCATAAAATAATTACGCCTTTGATATGGCATAATGAAGTGAACCTCTGTGAGTGGCCAGTATTTCTGAGAACATCGGAGATGAACACTACTACCTTTTCTGAGATGACTACCTGCGTAAAAGATCCAAACCATCTGGAACCGTGGGTGTTTGTTTTACAAAAGGTACACTGTAATTATTTCTTTTCTTACTAATGTAAATTTCACAGAATTTTTTTTCACGCGCTTTCTGTCGTGGTTTTAACCAAAGGGGACTAGGTGCGAAAAGAAAATTATAGTCATCTCTAAGACCCATTGTTCCAGTTGATTTTTGTCTACATTTGTGATGGTCGTCTCAGAGAGGTAAAATTTCTGTAAACCAAAATTTGTGTTCACAGAAATTTAATAACAGCAATAATTCCAGAGTTTTGATAGCATTTAGTACTATGGAGCTTTTCATAGCAACCATCTACCATAAACGAACACTTCTGAAAGAGACAAGTAGATATAAGAACATAAATAAACGTAGGTATTGAACATAATCTGTGTAAGGAGACCACCTCTATAGAAGATCAGAATATCTGGAACTGTGGATGTCGTCGTAAAACTACCATTCACTGCTCATTGGGCCATGTGCCCTGGATCTTCTCTAGATTCGCAGAAGGAAATTATAAGCCTTTTTTATTCTAGGAAAACCACAGTTTTTTTTTAATTTTTTTTTTTTTTTTTTTTTTTTTTTTTTTTTTATTTATTTAAAAAAGGCTAAGGATATAAAAATTACACGAATCCCTTCTTGAACAGTTAAAAGAGTACATGTTTCAACGAGTAAACAAAAATTGTCCTGTCTGGAGATGTATGTCTCTTCACTTGTTTCGGGAACATACTGTATCCTGAATCAGAACAGTTAACTTACTGAAGCTCTGTTCCACATTGTGTGGAATAGACGACACAAGCAGGAAGGGCATACGAAACCCTTTATTCTCTATTACTTTACAGATACTTCCGTACAGTAAGACCCGCTTAACGCTGTTTCGGTTTAGCGCTCTTTTATTTCAACCCGGGGATTCCACGAAATCGCTCGCAGCATACGGGGATTCCCCAAAATATTATGCGGCGATAGGTTTCAAATACATATCCGAAAGAGTGTACTTGTATTTCTTGTTTGGTGCGGTATTGTACAGACATATTTTGAAGGGATAAATGTGGAAGATGTCGAAGAAATAATTCAAGAAGCAGCGGCTAGTCTTTCTAATGATGAGCTCAAGGAATTAACTGAACAAGAAGAAAACAAAAAATGTTGACAGCAGTGATTCAGAAGAAGAGCAAAAAGAACTTTCGATGGCGTTTGTAAAAAGGAGTTTGTCTACCATAACTGAAATAATGGATCAATTCATTGAAAAATGATCCGAATTTTGACAGGAGCTCAAAAGTAAGGCGTGGTGTTAGAGATGCTCTATCCGTTTATGAAGAACTTTTAAGAGAACAACGCAAAAGAAAAAGGCAAACAACAGTAGATGCTTTTGTCACAAAAAGGCAGAACACTGAAAACGCGGAAGGCTAACTAAATATGACTGAGAATTTTATTTGTTTTTTTTTTTTAAGAATATTCGTTTTGTTATTTATATTTTGTTTTTATTTTTGCAAGAAATAATAATGTGGTATTAATTTGGGCTTTAAGAAATAAATGTTTGGTTTTATTTTTATTAAAAAAACATACTTTTTAAATTTAATACCTAACCAATTTCCTAGCCATCTTTCCCTAACCCCAATATTTACATGTAAAGATAGCCTCGTTTAGCGCTGTTTCGCATTACGCTCTACTTTGATGAAACGTATCCGCGTTAAGCGGGGTCTTACTGTACTTCGGGATACAGAGATACCGTACTTCGGGATACAGAGACTAACCACTTGTGGTCTGAACGTAAAAGTATAAAACTACTAACTTTAACTAAAAGCTAACTTTGAATTAGTATACAAATGCCTAGCACTAAAAGACTGGCCTCTATTTAAAAGAGTACGTATGTAGTACGCCGAGCTGCTGAAACTACAATACGCTTTCAAATATCAAGAGGGCTAAACCTCTAGCCTTAAAGGCAAACAACAACCGAGTGAAAAACTCGTAAGCCTGCAGTGGCAAGCGGCTCGCTTCCTAAATCTCCTTCTCTCTCTCACTCTTGGCAAAAAACCACGACTTAAATACTTGGGCGTTAGCAAGACAATTTGCGTAAACAAGTTAAAGCATTTAATTCTGGCCGGAAGTAGAAACTAAGAAGTGATAGCACAGTTTAAAATAAAAATAAACGTTAGTAAAACTTAGGATCCTTACAGTCCCTCTTAAAAATAAGTTAAAAAAGAGTTATCATAATCTGTATTTCTTGCAGAATCGCTACACATAGAGAACACGCGAAAGAAATTTATCATTTCTTTCGTGTTTTTCGCTATGTGTTGTGTGTACACCAGTGCTCTGCAACCTTTTCTCACCTGCGACGCACAAAAAATCTTTCTGGAATTTCGTGGCACACCAAAAGCTAATGTATATATGTATTGATTTATACACAAAAGTTTTTGAGTTCCGAGTTATCAAGGAAGTGCCGAAAAAATTCAAATGCTAACACACTTACAATCACACAACAGTGAAATATATAAAAACATTTAAAACACACATTATTAAGGAAAAAAAATTGTCATTGTGTATTAAATACATGATAAAAAATTGCAAAATGTCAAATACATGTATTTGATTGCGGCACACCTATATCCTACTCATGGCACACCAGTGTGCCGCGGCACACCGGTTGCGGAGCACTGGTGTACACGATCCAGCATCCCTTAGAAAGTCCTCTCGAAGGCATCCCTCCCTTTAGGCAGATATCCCTCAAGGCTTTGCTGTAATCACATAAACCAACTTAATCCATGTGTTGCTAACATACTGTGCATTCGTCTTTTCAGAAATATAACTATTCAATCTTCCTTCTTTTCCAGAAGTCTAATCTCTCATAAAAATATAAACAACGTAATTTAAAAATCACCATATTGTGAGATAGTATACGTTATAACAAATAATTATATTAACGCATTCGGTAATAAATTTAGCATATTAACGCATTTATTATATACAACGCATTTTTAGTTCAGTGTAGTTCCTCGCCGCACAGTTTTATTATGAAACACCATAAAAATAATACTATAAATTTCTTTTTCTTAATGAGTAGTCTTTTGTAGAGTTTTGATGTTTATTTTTAAAAAAAATTATTAAGTTTCTTTTTTGCCCTTCTTCATGGTTTAGACACGTATTTAGATGCCTTAATTAAGCATTCAAAAAAGTACTTTTTTCGTTCAAAGAAATGAAATTTATTTAACTTTTTAATCTCGTTTGCTTCATTTTAAAGAATAAGGTAACTCAAATGTTTTTAATATTTTTAGTTATTTCATTACATTTGTAATGAAAGTAAATGTATAAAATTTCTCAGTTACTCATACTGAATCTGCTAATTAATTTAGCGAAACTGTTAATTTGGAATATTTAGTTGTGTTCTGTTTAGTCATGGAAAATAAAGGAAATGGAGTTAAGTGGCAACCCTACCGGAATTAAATATCGGTTTTGAAAAGTGAATTTATTTCTGTTAATCTCATTTTCATTTAACAATTAAATGTGTAAAATATTTTCATTTAGCCCTATGCAATATGTAAAATATATTAAAATAAACGGTCGAACGGAAAAAAAAAGCACTATTAATAGAAAATTTTGATAATAGCTTAAAATTTCCTCGTCCTTGTATTCACTTTTGAAACATTGTTTTGCACTGATATATTCTCGTGTGGTTTCGGTAAGGATTTCGTTAAATTGTGAAGTGCTGATAAAGTGCAAAGTTTGTTCTTTTCAAAGTAAAATGTGCTCCTTACTACTCGGAAACTAAAAAAATTCGTTACAATTTACCAATGAATTAAAATTGTGAAATAAAGACTTTATCGACCCCCCTCCGCTAGGGACCAAAATAATCCGGAATAGTGAGTGATTTTTTAACAATATTTAAAATTTTAATGCATCTAAAATCATACTTCTATGACGTATCTGTGCAGTTATGATTGTTTAATTGCAAACTTAATTTCAATGCACATCTGTTGTTTCATCAATCATAAATTCATTCTAAAACATTCTGTTAATAAAAGTTTGATGCCGTTAATTTTACTCATTAGAATTAAGCATTAAACTTGCTGTATAAGTCTCTTCTCATCCCGAGTAAATGAATTTATTAATGAAATTCGGTGCTGTTGACTGGAATCTCTAATAATGTGTAATGAATATTGGATGGATTGTAACAGAGAATATTGCGACAATGTGTACAATCTCAACAGAAGCAGTACTAGAGAAAATCAATACATTAATGCGGACCTGCTACCTCTTTATTCAAAATGTCGCATCCTAAGCTTCTATTGGTGGACTCTCTCGTTTAATATCGATCCAAGCCGTAGCACTCACACATACATGTAATCGTATCCATAGAATGGCTGTTGGTGGATATTAAAACTCCAGATAAACCATTCGCCGGTGTAGCTTAAATTCTATACGCGGGTCGAAAATTTTGTGCGGGAATCATTCCAGGTTTACACTTTGTTTGGAGTTCCATAGACTTATTTCTAATCTCATACCGGAGGTGTAAGTGGTGCAGTTTCAAGGCGCCTTTTACTACAACAACAATTTTAAACAGCTTATGTAGGTACTGAATAGTTTTTGTCAAGGCTATTTGGTAAACTAAGATATTTTGCTTGGCTTCGAGAGCAGTCGAATCATAAACAAATGTAACAAGGGACATGGGCACATATTCTAAAGTTATCTAAGTTTTTAATTGTTTTCTACCGGCGATAACTATCGTAGAAGACCTTTTAATTAAGTCTATTTGTTTCTGGAACATTTTGTATGCTTTCTGTTCTGGTTGTGTGTTAACTTAAGAGCGTGCCATCAATTCTTGGTAGTAACCATGCCCCCACAACCGAGTGGTAAAGCTGTTAAGAAAGCAGGAAAAGCCCAAAAAGCTGTACGAACTGGTGACAAGAAACGTAAAAGGAAGAAGCGGAAGGAAAGTTTCAGCATATACATATACAAAGTTCTGAAGCAAGTCCATCCTGATACCGGCATATCCAGCAAGGCCATGTCCATCATGAATAGCTTCGTGAACGACATCTTTGAAAGAATCGCTGCTGAATCTTCCAGACTGGCACACTACAATAAGAGATCTACCATCACTAGCCGTGAGATCCAAACTGCAGTACGGCTTTTGTTGCCTGGAGAGCTTGCAAAACATGCAGTGTCAGAAGGTACTAAAGCTGTCACCAAATATACTAGTTCTAAATAGGAGTATGCCTTGCAAACAAGAGAAGTATCACATGAGTATGACATTGAAATATTCACACTTGTTGAAAGTTGCTCATTCGAAGGATTTTCTAACTTTAATTTTCAGTTTCTTTTTATGCCGCAGAGAAAAAGTGGATTTTAAACCGAGTTACTTTCGTTAGAAAGTGCTTTTAATATAAAATCTGTTTTTAATTTAAAAGAAGAAATTTTTCATAATATTAGCGCTGTTAATTGCTAAGTTTCCAATTTTTTGCACATGATGTTATGATGTGTATGTTTGTTATCCCAACTTTTTTGCTGTGAAGAAATTTTACATATGTCATTCTTTCATTTGCTAATATTGTAAACTGTTTGCATGACGAATTGTGATAGTCAGTATAGAATGATTAGCTATTTCAGATTAGCAATGCACAGTTTAAAAGGACTTAGAATGCACCAGGAATATTGTTGAATGAATAAATGTGTTTTAGAAAAACAAAATTTACGTATGAGTAATAACTTTTCAACGAAAAAAAAATTATATCTTAAATATTAAATTTAAAAAGAAATTTTCTTATGGCAGTATTTACCATTGAACAGGTGAGGAATAAAATTAGACAATGTATCTGTAAAAATGTGTATACCACATTAATTATGTCCCTTCTTTAAAACTTAGCTAAAAAGCAACCTTAGATTAGTGTTGATTTTGAATAAAACTTTATCGACTCCAAAATCGATCAGAACAACAAAATTTTTAGCAAACAGTTTTGCAAATTTTTTTCTTCAAAATCTTCGCAAAATTTAAGATTGCTTTTTTTTTCCTAATGCAAAAATTTTTTTTGGCGTGTTTCTCTTCCAGTTATTTATATATATGAATGGCAGTTAATATTATAAGAAATTTCTTACTTATTAATTATTACAATATGGATATATATAAATAAGAAGTAATTACATCACTAGCTTTTTCCCAGCATGATTTTGTGTGTGTTTATGAAACTAAAATTATTATAAAGTTTCATACTGAATATTTAATCAAATATAAATGATTACATAAGGGAATGAATAATTATCTTTTTTCAGCATTCAGAATTCATAATGCACATCTTAGTGGTATTCAGAAAAGGCGCTTCAAAACTGGACAAATAGATTTTATTGCTTGTTGGTCATGTGGTCATAGAAATGGCAATAATAGAGCATTTGAGGTGTTTGAAGTAATATTTTACCCACATTTATTATGACACATATCAAATTGAAGTTAAATGAGGACTTTCTGTATTTTGAAAATTATGAATTTTAAAGAAGTGAGCGTCTCTTTTAAAAAAGAGAGTTTTCTACAAAATTTCAAAGTGCTTATGTTCTGTGAATATGTATTTCCTTTAGATCGTGGGCGTTTTCGTGGTTTTCCCCATGTGTAACGTGTATACGAGCCAGTTTCCCTTAGAAAGTCCTCCACGAAGGCATCCCTCCCCTTAGGCAGATAGCCCTCGAGGCTTTGCCATAATCACACACACACATGCTCCCATTTACTCGACTTTAAATGTTATATTCTCATCTTAGTAAAAAATATACAGTGAGCGTCCGATGAATTGGAGGCAGATTAACTGGGCCGTGCCTAAAAAAAGTTGAGTATTGCCAAATGATGGAAAAGCTATTATCACAAATCATTTGAATAAAACAAAATTTCTGCGGGAAATACGAAAAGAAGAAGAAAATGCTTGGGATGACAACAGTGGATAGTAGATAATGTCACATTATTTAGCAACTGATTACTGAACTGGTGATGCACTAGCAACCTGATGATGTCACAGTATTTAGCAATTAAATTATGATATTTTTAGCCACAGCACAACGCTTTGGATAAAAACAGCATAATTTAATTGTATATAATCTGGAGTATATAAACATTGCTAAACCATCCGTTAAAAATAAACTGCTTAATCGAAAAAAACAAAAGTATACAGCTATTAATTTTCTGTTAATTCATGCTCAGTGGTTGAGCGGTGAAACCGCTGAGCACTGGTAATTTGACACGGTCTCTGATATTATCCCGGTTAATCGGGTTGGTATGTTTTATTAAGATCACGGCAAAGCACACTTAGGGCTATCTGCCTAAAGAGAGGGATGCCTTCGTGGAGGACTTTCTAAGGAAAACTGGCTCGTATACACGTTACACAAGGGGAAAACCACGAAATACCCATGCAGCCAGCCCGTTCGCGGGATTCGAACCTCGGACCGAACTACCAGTGTTCTGCGATTTTTACCGCTCGGCGGCTCCCGGTTAATCGGGAGTCTGCTGTTTAAATGTATATATATATATATAATGTTGTACGATGTTAAATTCATTTAATGCGAAAACAAGTTATTCTACTACTTTGCAATTGCTGCAAAGTAAGTTAATAATAATTTATATACTAAAGAAATATTGATTATATTATCTCCTAAGTTTAATTATAGTAGAATGATCTTAAAAGAGTGAATCCATACTTAGTAAGTTCTATTTTGAAAGATGTTTTGAAGTAACTTGAATGTAAATTGTGAAAAATGTTTAACAGGGGACTGGAATTAAATCATGAATAACAAAATTTCAATTGTAAAAGGAATAAATTAAAGGCAATAATTAAATTAAATGCATGTAATCATTGTCATTGATCGGAAATTAGTTGACCTTTCAAGGGGAACAAACCAACTCCCGTTCAATGAACAATAATTAAGAAATAAATACGAAGGTGTTTCGTACATATATATATGTAATAACTTGGGAAAGTTGGTGGCATAATAGCTGCAGAACGAAGAAGAAATAAGCAGACGTGGGCGAATTTAATTATTTACTTTTTATTTATGGTTAAAAAACATTTTTCACATTAAGCCAACACAAATAAAATTGGCACTATAGCGCCTTGTTCTTAAAGAATGTTTTTACATCATTACCAATAAATTTGTGAAATATATTTTTGAAGACAGCAGGCAGTAGCAAGTTGGCAGGAGGGAAGCGGTAAACAAAATGTTTTGTAATCCAAGATAGAGGTTTAGTTCAAAAGGAGAGAGAAAGATTTGTGTTTGTAAATTTTAAGTTCCGAATTTTAGATCATCCAGCCTTAGGTAAAGGATGGAAAGGGGAAATATTCAAATTAAAAACAGAGAATAAAAGGGCTAATGCAAAATTAAAGTTAGTAGTTTCTTTTACATATTTTTATTCCACATACACATACATATATGCAAACTGTCTTAAAATGTTTAGCTATGAGTGATAAAAATAAAATTATGGAGCTACTAACAGTGATGAATTTTAAATCACATTTCTGAAAGAATAGAATTTTATCATTCTTGTATATGACATTCCTATGCTCTCTTTATTGTTACTTCTTACAAGTGAAATAAAATCTACCAGTACAATACTTAATGATCATCATTAAAAATGTAGGGACTATTAATCATGGTGAATTTAAATCAAAATTGTCAAAGATAAATTCAAGCGAATTGAATATAATAAGTCATTTATATGCTTCTGTCCTCACATATCATTTTATATCTCAATACGATCTTGTAGAGAGCCTGATGATTTTATTTTAGTCCCATTTGGATAACAAATCTTGATAACTAAAAAAAAAATTATTAGTTAAAGCGTATTTAATTAGAAACCGTAAATTAAAGTTTTTTTTTTTTTTTTTGTTTTTTTTTTGCAATATGGAATTTTATACTCTTTTAGATAAAGGGGTATTTAAGCGGGGGGGGGGGGGTGAATATTCTAATAAGGAAAAATTTTTCTTTCCCGTCATAGAACAAAATTATATTTTCTTTCCTGATCTTCCAGCTTATCCGATAGGGAAAGATTACATCTACCAGTACAATACTTAATTATCATCATTAAAAATTTAGGGACTATTAATCATGGTGAATTTAAATCAAAATTGTCAAAGATAAATTCAAGCGAATTGAATATAATAAGTCATTTATATGCTTCTGCTCCTCACATATCATTTTTATATCTCAATACGATTCTTGTAGGAGAGCCTGATGATTTTATTTTTAGTCCTATTTGGCTAACAATATCTTGATAACTAAAAAAATTTATTTAGTTAAAGCGTATTTAATTAGAAACCGTGAAATTAAAGTTTTTTTTTTTTTTTTTTTTGCAATATGGAATTTTATACTCTTTTAGTATAAGAGGGGTATTTAAGCGGGGGGGGGGAAACTTTACACAGGAAAAATTTTTCTTTCCCGTCAACTAGAACAAAATGTGATGTCACTTTTCTTTCCTGATCTTCCAGCTTATCCGATAGGGAAAGATTACATCTACCAGTACAATACTTAATGATCATCATTAAAAATGTAGGGACTATTAATCATGGTGAATTTATCAAAATTGTCAATAAATTCAAGCGAATTGAATATAATAAGTCATTTATATGCTTCTGCTCCTCACATATCATTTTTATATCTCAATACGATTCTTGTAGGAGAGCTGATGATTTTATTTTTAGTCCTATTTGGTAACAATATCTTGAAAAAAAAAAATTATTTAGTTAAAGCGTATTTAATTAGAACCGTTTAAAGTTTTTTTTTTTTTTTTTGCAATATGGAATTTTTACTCTTTTAGTATAAGAGGGGTATTTAAGCGGGGGTGGGGTGAATACTTCTAATCACAGGAAATTTTTTCTTTCTCGTCAACTAGAACAAAATGTGATGTCACTTTTCTTTCCGAATCTTCCAGCTTATCCGATAGGCAAAGATTACATTTAATTCATTTATGTTTCGGTTGGATTACAAACCAGATTCCATCATTGCTTAAAATCTCAAGGCGGCTAATAATGATGGATACATTTTTTGTTTTTAAATTTTTTATCGTTAGCAGCTGCGCAATAACTTCAAAAATATTTATCGATTTTTGACATATCATTAAATTAAGTTAGAAGTTATGAAGCATTTTTATGCGGAAATTTGTTTTTTGATTTATCTGATGGTACAAAGATCGAAATTCATACATGAGAAAAGTTGAATACTAATAAACAAAATATGTACATAATATAAAAATGGCCATGGAATATTATATTGCCGTTGCAAATATATATGTGTGCCCAAAATTTCCATAAAACTGGTGCAGTAGAAGAGGGTAAAAATTTATTTCAAGATTTTACTCAAACAAACACAGAAACCAAACTGAATAATATAAATATGTTTAATTGAAGATGTAATCTTAAACGGGGGCTTCTTAGAATTTGAGGGTCTCCTTCCCCATCGTTTAAAAGTGTTGAACTAATATCACTCATATGATGCAATAGATACATTTCAGCTTTTAAGTAAGTATTTCAGAGCATAAATTCGTCAAAATAATGCATTAATGCAAATAATTTATAACAATCTAGACTTCAACGTAACATTATAAATGTTCGCAAGCCTGGCCAACAAATTCTATTACAAATATGAGAATACAGAACAACTTGCCTGAAAATTGTAAATGCCCAAAAAACGGTTCTTAAGCCCTTTTAAATTTCCTCCATGTCGTCAAAGTAATCTTTCAAATGGACTGGATTACTGAATTTTGGAAAAGGCATGAGAGCTGCTGCCGAAGTTTGATCGATAGTGCTCTGGTGATGGAATCCGAGAGTCTTGAACCCCCCTTTTCCCCCCACTACCAATCACTTGAACTTAATTAATCGTCTCTAAGATAGTCAGTCATCCATGATTCCATATGATTTGAGCTTTCTGTGGAGATGATGTTCAATATTATAATTGGAAACAATGATTACTTTCACTAGTGACCCATCGCAAAG